CTTCATTATGTCCAAATGAGGCTAGGAAAGATTGGACAAACACGACACATGCGCGTTCAGCACTTCATATTCATGACCCTATTAAAATGGTCCAGAGTCATTCTCTGAGCAAATTTGATCAGATGCTGCAAGGATTCAGCGCTGATAAGTGTTATTTGAGCTCAGACAAAATGAAGGAGAAGGCTGAAATTAGCACAAATAGCAATGTGCTCAAAAAGACAGACACACGAGGGTTTCATGTAAAAACCAGCCTGGCCCCACAAACAGGGCTGCTCTTATACTTTTCCTGTTATATAACTCAGAGAGTCTGCTTAATTCCTCTCTAAGTACCAATGCGAGAAGCAGATCTTCATTTTGTGTGTGTGTGTTCAGTGTGTGTATATGTGTGTGTGTGTGACTGGGTCGCAGTGCCTCCAACCAACCTTGACTAACAAGCATATGTTAATTATGGAGCAGATCACAGGCAGGTCATCCAGCACTCTGCCACTAAAAAGGAGGAAGATGCATTACTGGAGGGCATATCCAGGGCTGGGGACGGGTATAACACCATCCTACACCACCACCACCACCTCCCTCTCTCTTTCCTCCTTTAACCCTCCTCTCCCTTCATCCTTCTTTTAGTTCGTTGTTTCTTAAAAATATCTTCCCCTGCTTCCAAGTTTTAACTTCATTAACGATGTCCACTTTCCCCTCCACACATCAAATAAAAGAAGAGAGAGGAGTTCAAGCTGAAAGTCTCAGTATTTTCTATAAATGTAACCACATCATACTTTAAAGCATGCACTACTAATGTAATCATCAGTTTTCTCTATAAGTTATGATAACGACGTATGGTTGGCAGCTTTAAACAGAGCAAAGTTAGAAAATGGGGTGACTTTAACCTGCCAAACTTAGTTTAGTTTGATTAGAAAAGCCGTTTTGAAGTATTTATAAAACTATATGCACCCAAATTATTGGTTTTCCTTCTATCTGAAATGTAATATGCATACAGTTTCTGTGGATCTGATCGGTCCAGTTAATACAAAGATGAATGTTTAGGAGACTGTCAGTGGCTATACTCTTTAATGCAGTTTTCTGCTCTGACAGGGTCCAGCACCTCAATTTCAGAGAGCGTCACACCTTCATTTACTGTTGCTCGGCTATGAGGGTTCAGTCTGCTTTCAAATGCTCTGTATTCTTATTTGCTTTCATTTAATGTGCATTTTTAAAAGTCGATGTGAAAACATAATATACAAAGTGTTGCACCGTAAGCAGCAGCTCCATACCTTCAAACTGTACCTTCAAAAGTATGTTTAGTTTTACTTTTGTATGGACCTCCACCATTGATGATGTACTGGAAACACTGAACTTCATTGGGTGTAAAGTAAACATTGGCTCTTACAAAGCAAAAACAGACATGAGTGGACATTCTTCATTTAAAAAAAGAAAAAATCACTACTAAGGCCTGGTTATAACTTAAAAAAGTAATCAAGACATAAATATACAGGAAAACTCACTGCAAGCAAGTTGTCTGGTTTGATGGCAATCACAATATGTATCTGTCCTTTGCTAACTGTTTAATCCTTACAATCTCACTGCCTGTTCAGCTAGCTGTGAACATATACAATGCTCAGACTGATGGTAAATAAACTTGTAATTCTGTCACTAATCAGAATGAAAGTCAAAACTCTGACGATAAGACTTATAATTTAATGAAGTGTCTTGCAGTAACTCTGATTCACACGAACACCAACATCTCTTTCCTTTGGTTTTTAGGCTCTGCTCCCCCTCTCCCTCTGGCTCTCCTTCCCCTCTTTCACACACACCGTTCTCCCCTGAACCCCCTACCTCTTACCCCCACCCCGAGGCCTTGCCCCAGAGCACATTGATTCTGCTGTATACCTAATTACTGCTCATAATCTATTCATTTCACCACCACCAAAGAGGGCAGCAGCTGTCACACAACACAGCACCGGGGGGACGAAAGAACTGAGGCTGGAGACCATGACAAGGGTCAGGATTAAAAACTTAAAGGGGGAACTGGTGGTGGCTTGATGGCAGCAGTAGTAAAAAAAAAAAAAAACACTCCACAAGAACCGTCATGCTTCTTCACATGTTTTGCTGAAATTCTAGAAAATAGTATTCTTGATGTGTTGTGTTTTTTTCTGCAGCTCAGGATTGCACTTTGAGTCTTCGCTTCTGTCAGGCTGCCACTGTGCAGAGAGATGCTGGTGGAGGTTTGTTGTGTTGTTTTGGCAGTTAGAGGCAAAAGGGCAAACACACTGAGTCTTCCCCTGTTGAATGTGTTTATCACACTGAGATGGTTGTGGATGAGTAACATAGTGTATGACAGGCAGACCCTGACTTAACCTTAGTTAGCTGCAGTTTATCATTGTAGAGAAAAATGCTCATGTCCTCTTCTAGGGTATAACCCATGCAATTTATCAGTTTTGTTATGACACATAAATCTAAGTACTAATCTTATATCTTTATTTAAAGCTTCCATGAGGAATTTTTCACATTAATGAAATAGACTAAAGTTCATATTGATGCATTTTTTGGGGAGATGTCTCAATCCAATATTGATAACTGCTCATATTAGTGAAGAAAAACAGGGTGACGCAGCTCAAGGAGGAACATTTGTGATTATTTCTTGATCATTTCCTTGAAGTAATAATCATTATATTAATCATTTTGCACTGCAGACATGGTAGTCTGATTGCATTATCATGAAGAAATGATCTTAAATGTTCTTCCTTGAGCTGTGCCACCCCGCTGCAGTAATGGACTCGCCTGAGGTCTCGCTACAAAAAAGCGGCTGCTGGAAGAGTGTAGGTGAGTTGTGTTTGTTCTCTTTGTTAAAGAAATTAGGCAAAGTTAAAAAGATGTTTGCTGGCTAGTACTGTGGCTTGGACCCTATATGTACTGTTGATGAAGTTAGGTGCTGTTCTGAACATTATTTGTGGCTATAGAGTGGTGTTTTGGTTGAGGTTTGTTCATGGCTACTCAGACCACTGTGTTTTGCTATCCTGCGGTCATTACTAAAGATGGTATAACTAGATAAGGAAGCGGTCAGCAACATTCATCTCTCGACGGGGGTGTCTAACTCAGTGTTACAGTGTGTTTGACCCTAACTTAATTTTAGACTGGAATATACCTTAACATAGGATTATATCAGCCTGCATCTAAAATCTCCAATACAAGCACTCTGATACAAGCAGTCCATTCCAGGCTCCGCTCCAGCACCCCTATCTAACAGTGTCCAGATCCAGCATGCAGAGCCCTCATTTACTAAGGTACTAACAAAGTAGCAAGAAGTGGGAGTGATGTCGGTCGTATGGCACTTCATTTTTTTTCCAAAAAAAGACATTGCAGCTGAGTACAAAACTTGTGCCAATTGTGCCAATATTGGATCAATATCAGTATCGGTCAATACTGAAGGCTACAATAATCAGTATCATATCAGAAGTAAAATAAGTTGTATCAGGACACCCCTAGCCTCCTTATGATATCTCAAAGCAAACAAGACCATCAGTGGCAAAATTATAAAGAGAGGAGTGTAAACATGGACTAATGGAGAGGTGCTTGAATAAGAAGGCTGCACATTTACAGGTGTGCTGAGGTTCTGTACCTCTGTCCTGTCAGGGCAGTGAACTGGCACCTCTCCAGCTGCCGGCCCAAATTTCAACCTTCATTTAGGACAGGACATTCCCAATATCTCCACTCCAGTTCCTGCAGACTGTCCCATAGAGGGCTTTTATGCTAAATCAGTAATTGTATATAAATGTCCACAGGTTTTAGATGAAGAATAAGCTTTTTGACTGTGAGTTGGCCTTTCTCAACAAGTCCACACAAAGTGAGAGGACCCAGTATCCAAAAACTGTCTCTAACAGACATATCATAGTGTGCAGACCTGTGAAAGTGAGTGTGGCACTGCAGAAGTCACCAGCAAACATACCCGCAGAAACACACCTCTCAGCCCGCCCAGGGGTAATCAGCATCTGTTTGTTTAATCTGCTTAATCTGCTGGTGAGCTCCACTGGGCGTGCCTAATTAGCAAAATTAATTTGTTAAGACATTAGCGTGGTTAGAGACGGCCAAATGAAGCCCTGCACCGTTTTATGCAGATGGGGGTCTGGCTGTGTTACCTCAATTAGACCTTTCTTTGATATCTGCCTCCTTTTCTCTCTCTCTCCTTGTCCCCTTCTCCTTCCTTCCTCCTTTCATCTTCCCCTTTCTCCTCATTATCACTGTTGCATCCCGCTAATCATGAGATACTGCTATTGTATGACAGATAAGGGGGGAGGGGCAGGGGCACGAAGCGCTGAAACTGCTAATCATTACAAAAAAATAATGAAACAGGGGATCTGTTTTTTCAATTAAGGCTTCCTCTTTCGCCGTCACTGCTATCTCCATGTGTGTGCGTGTGTCATGGCGGCAGTACCTCTTCCAGTGTGTGTCAGTGGGGTAATTAGTCTCCCGTACGTTGCACCCCTCACAAGCCTGTTTAAGGGTTAATGAGGCCCCAGCAGCTTCTCAGCATGGGTTTTGGAGTTGGAGAGAGGGGGTGAGATGTGGGTTAGGGTTGGTTCAGGCCCAGCTTCAATAAGAAGCCACCCATAGGACCTCCCTTTGAAGTGTCAGAGGGTCCCCCCTCCCTTGTTCCGGGTGGCTCTGGTTTCATTTGTCTGAGTGGCAGCATGAAATATAGATGAGCTGCCAGACGACACAATCCAAGCCCCCCTCCCTTAAAGAAGAACCCTCCCTCAGACATTACTCCACCCTCAGCCATGACATTATTCACAGATTAACCAACGCCTCCCTGTCACCCAATAATGACCTCCCTTTCTCCTCCTAATCTGGCTTTGGAGAGCTGACAGTAAAATTAGACACGCTGAGCTGTATTTGTGATTTTCCAGCCTCACAGCAGAAATAAATGAACCCATTACCAGCAGAGGATGGGTGAATTTAAGATATTCTTTGAGATAATGTAGCCACGGACAAAGTTTACAGCACGTTGGCTAGTTTTGCCCTGAGGTTGGGTTTTTGTAATGAGTGGTAATGCAATAGAGGTTCCAGTGATACTGCAGCCTTGGGGATTTGTAGTGCTGGAGTCCATTGTGTCCCTCACTGTATTTCATGTTTCCTGGTCCCAGCGGGATCTCTATTGGTCCATTTGAACACCAGTGAGTCTCGCTCAGCTGCGTCCGCACAGGATGAGAACCACAGAGCTCTGTGGTTAAAAATAACAGATAACAGTATCAATACATTCACTGGAAAGTTTAATTATGTCCAAGTAACAAAAGAAGCAGTTTTAAAGGATAACTCATTTAAAGAGTCAAACTCAGATAAAAAAAGAAAAAATTAGAGTCTTTCTTTTGTGTTTTATTTTTTAACATGATGTTGGTACTGGTGTTGACTTTACAAATTGAACTGTTTATCAGGATTATGGATGCACAATTTATCACAATATAATTGAATTCACATGTCCAAGAGCATATCTAAATACAAAAGGGGTAGTTATCTTACCTTAGTTGATAAAGGTAAAATGTGTGATAAAAAGAATTATGATGAAGTACTTTGCTGCTACAGAAATGTTCAAACTCTACACTTTTTTCTCCAGCGATAGGGTAACATGTTTGCTTAATATAGACACCAAACTGAGATGCATAATTTAATAATTCACACTGATCAGGTAGCATGTTGTAATCATGATATCTGCCAAAGTAATCACAAAATGAGAATTTAAATGGAACATACACCCTAGATTGGGAATACTGGTTGCACTGGTGAGACTTTGTAGTACGGTACAGTACTTCATATAGAGTACATACACTTACATAGCAGTAAATATGATCAAAACTTTTCTGCACTATGATTATAGACATAAATTCAGCTACAGTATTACATCGTCAATCATCATAATAACAGTGTTATGTATAGCTGGCAGGGAGTGAAAAAAAGAGTAACAAAGACATTTTATTTAAATCAGCCACAAAAAGGAAAAAAAAAACACAAAAAATTAATTTAGTAACTCCCTGATGACAAAAAGTTTAACAGAACAGGAATCCAGACCCAGTAATGCCAGGACACAACAATAACTGAGAAGAAAGTCAGCCTAAATATCAACATTAATCCAAGATGATATACAACATGACAAAAAATTAATTCAGTTTTAGCGAAAAATAAAAAAAAATCATCCACATATGGATGCTGTATGTGCAGTTTAGCTGAATCTTTGAAAGTCTAATTTTATTGGCATAAATTTCATATTTTTTTTTTCTTTATAAAAATCTTTAATCTCTTTAAATCATGTGTATGACTGGTGATTCTATCGGAAAAGCCATATGAGCCATGCCAAATGCAGGTCTTGAGTCTCTTTTTGTCTTATACACTTACATGATATATTTTGTAGATTTACCTTAAGATTTAGACTGTAACTTGCTCTAGTATATGGGATGCAGTCATGCAGCTGTCTCCCTGAGTGACTACTTCAATTGCCTTCAGCAATGTACAGTGTCAATGCAGTTGTGTAGCCCTTTGTTGGACTGGTTGTTTTTGCCACTGGTACAGTAGTTTTACCGAGACAATATTTACATCGATAGGAGTCTTTGATTGATGCATTGTAGTCACCTAAAACTATACCAGTCAACTTACTACGCATGATTTGCACAGTAAAGCTGTTTCTTACTTTACCCTTTGGATTGAAGGTTTTCAAGTTCATCTTATACACAAATTTTTACTGTAACTTGAAACTTTAAGTCTCTGAATACACGGCTTAACTTTCAGACAACTTAAAGATGATCAACATTGCTATAAAAATGTTGTCAACAGGATGACATTTAGTGCACAATAATGCTCGCTATTGTGTGATATTGAATCAGAAGCTCATTGCAGTGACACAAAACAAACTTCATAAAAGCTCCTTCAAATTTCGTTTCACCTGTTTTATGTCATATTTCAAGTCCTAAACCGAATTGTGAAGTAATATCCAGCCAGAGTCCCTGGATGTTAATGTTTTTGCTTGTCTTTATTTCTGAGTCCTGCATCAATCAAGAGAAAGTTAGAGCCGAGCATTAATATGTCCTCGTGATGACAAAATGCATTAGAGTCAGGAGGCAGCACATTTCATTACAGACTACTGGGACCTCTAATTTCATTCCAGTCCACTTTGTGGAAAACGACACAATGTTATTACGTTCAGCGGGTGTATCCAACATTACGCAGCCACTATTTATTTTCACTTTATTTGCTTAAGTAACACAGGGGGCATCTGCAGGTAATTGGTTTAACGTCAGGAGAGTCTCTGTACATGAAAAATCATCTTTTTCCTCCTCTGATCTCCGGGGAGCTTAGACGCGGGCTAACTTTAAATGGTTTCCAATGGAACAACTCTACTTTTTCTTCAAGTCACTTTGTAAAACTTTCTCATCCCAATTATATTTTTTTTGTCCGAGGAGGCTATTAGAGGCGCGGGGAGATTACTTTGACCTCTGTCTTGCTTCACATGTAGGCTTCAAAAGTAGAACTAGATAACTGAGTGGCCCGCCAGTAGACAAGGTCTGGTCTAATTACTGGAAGCATTCTTCATGTGAATCGGGAAAATGGTACAAGATAAGATTAAAGACAGTACGTAGATATAAGGAATTTAAATAGTCATGCCTTAGAAAGTGTTATTCTGTATAATTTATGACAGCTTTTCTTGGAGTCTATGTGTGTATAATATGATATTATGTAATACTTATGTAGGAATAACAAGAAAAATCAATCTTTGGGTTGCATCTTTATAGCAGAACGAAGAGCAGGAATCAGTCATGATAAGGTCAGTCATTCTGCGTCTGCACAGAGGCCGTTTGAGCCGCAATTACAAACAGGGAAACAGTTTTCCTCGGCTTGAACTTGAATGAGGGTATGAGAGCTGACACGAGGGCCGAGGAGTGGAATGATAAGGAGGTAGTGAAGGGGAGGGGCGTTTTAATCTGAAAATTATTATATCTGGACTAGTGACTCTTGGAGGTTTATCAGATTGCTTTTCCTAATCATAGCACCCTGAGTGTGTTTGATCTCCATGATGAACAGATGATTAGTTTTTCATGAAACCGTTCAAGCAAAACGCTCCGACACGAGCTGTGCTGAGATGCTGTTGATTTAGCTGTTTGAGAGGCACCAGACCCCCACCCACCCACTTCAGTCTGCCACACACCAGCCAGAGCAGGAGCCCACAGGGGAGTGAGGAGGGGTCAGGAGGGGTCAAGTCTATGGGTAATGATATATCACCTGCCATATATTTAAGGTTTTGCTAATTCTCATCTCAATTATGACCATTCCTTTGACCTGTTGGCCCTGAAAGCAATGAAGCGACACAATCAATTTGAGCAGGGGTTTACATTTTTGGCAGGGAAATGACACCGGCCTGATGCTGCAAATCACAGACAGGCTGCCCAGATGATCCCCCCAGTGCGGGTGCATGCATGATGATGTCTGTGTCTGGCTGAGGAAGAGCACACAGAAAGTGACAAAGACATCAGGACAGAAAAAGTAAACAATGATGTTTTCGACTGAGGCATATGTTATAGTGAGGGACAAGAGACAGCCTTACATTTCAATATAATCTCACACAACCTGCAAAAAATGATAACATGGTTCAAAAGTTGATGAAACTACTTAATTATTCAGTCCATTTTATAATTAGATTAAAAACACTGTTTATAAATCTGTTTATTTAATGCCAAAGCAGCGAGAGTCACTTCTAGTTTGCATTGCTTTACCCTAGAATACAAAAAAACTACACAATATCTTACATACAAAACTCATCACAGAATTAGCAGTTAATAAAGTGATTATTTCTGAAATTAACAAGTAATAAATCATCACCTTTCATTTTTATTACAGTGATGTTTAAGTGTGATTTTCAAGTCAGGATCTGGCAGCTTTTTCTCCTCAGTTGTTCTCACTTGTTTTGGCACTTGTCTTCGTCTAGAGTGATAGCATTGGGATATTTTACACTGTTCGCTAGAGAGAACAAATCTGCTCACAGACATTTACTTTGATTTTATGTTTTTCTTACAGGCATTTTTCTATTTAAAGACAAAACAATAAACCATGAACACAACATCTGATTGACTGATAATGTTGGCCAATAAGGCCCTACAGCAAGAGCGTTTTGTACACTGCATGAGGAAAATAAAGGTGTGCTATTTTAAAGTGTTGGCTCAACACTGAAATGATGTGTAGGTTTATAAAAATATAAAAATATCCAGGTTTCAGGGTATGGACAGCTGAGTCTGTGTTTATTCTGTCACTCGGTGCAGAGACTTTGGTGATTAGAAGATGAATTTCCCGTAGACTCAGGGATTATTTGGGGCACTACACTAGTGCATGACCTGTACCAACAGCACATCGAAGGTTAACTCTAATATGAGATCATGAAATCTCCATTTGACACCACAGAATAAGCTCAGCTGTTTTCATGTCTGCTGTGCAATAGTCGAACAATACGAAGCACAAGCACCCTCCCCAGATAAAGCCGTGTAACCTCTGTATACGTTCAGCTCCAGCACTCAGCCTCTCTGTATAATAGACTGACAGCACGTGTGAGCGGAGCAAGTGGGATGAAAGAAGGTGAAATGGATTATTTAACCGACAGAGAGCAGGGAGCTGCAGGGGGGTTCAGTTCTCCATCAGTAACTTTGTTCTGCTTGGATAAAGTAGAGGAGAGACGGAGAGCGATGTGTGCTCACCCCTTCAATCCAGACAGAGAGGTGTGCAACACAGCAGGCAACAAGTTCCCCTTTAGTTTTAGCACTGATGAACAAACCAACTGTAGATGCAGCATATATAGTATTTATTCCACTGCTTTTCCACATATTTGACATCTTATTACTTGAGGTCTTGTTCACTTCAAGTTTAAGTCAAGTATTTCTGTTGAGTTTTGCTCTTTTTGATTTCTATAACATTTTCAACTTCATAAATAACTTTTATGATACATAAATTATCAATTATATATCAAGAACAGCCTTAGAAAGGTTATGAGAGCGCTTTGCAAGTCTTAAAATAATTCAGCAATAATGTAGGCTATCCTTTGACTGCAGCCTACTTAGAGACAAAGGCCCTTTTTGTAGTTTTGTCTTAATAGGTTGGCATCTTTAAAATATATCTTTCCTCTCATAAGACTGATCCAAAATAACCATGCCTTGTACCAAAAAAGTTTTCATTAAATTTTCATTCAAATAT